ACACACACACACACACACACACACACACACACACACACAACTTGTTGAAAGCAGTCTTGCGCTGTTTGGTGCGCTGTCAAGCCGTGTCAGATCAGTTCGCTGTACCTGGGGTCCATTCCTTGCATGAGTATTTCATCTTGTTTACACTCCACCATGTCATTGGTGAACATGGCATGAAAGTAAGGGATGGAGGCCGCCAACACGATGCGGTGGGCGCTGAATTTGTGCTCCCCCGCCTGTAGAATACATTCATCCACCGTAAGAAAGTCCATCTCGTTGACATCACTTGCATTCATCGGTTCAGTGCTTGTAAATAAGTACCCCAAAATTAATAATCAGAACCCAACTGAAAGAAAGAACCGTCACCAAATGAAATAAAACAGTGGTCACTCGTGTCACATTTGGGTCAATACAAAATTTTAACGGAGCATATTGTGATTTTAATGGAACTTGCTGTACTTGTTGATAGTGGTGGCACAACACTTTTTTTTTACGGTTTGCAATAATTCGGTCATGTTGAGTGGACACTTTAGGGAGCTATCGAGGACCACAAGTTAAAGTGGCCAAATCAAGCAAAGTCAGCATTTTGACAGTCATTTGGTTGGGAATGATAAGACTGTAACAACTTTGGATGAGTTAGGTAGTCTTATGCACGTGCAACTTTCAATACGTGTTTCAGAATTATTTTGCAGACGCCCCACAACTCAATTTGACAACCAATAATGTTCATTCACTCTCGTAGAACCTCCAGTGTCAAACACTCAACTGACAATCCAATGCTTTCATTGTACAGTGGGTCAAAGGTCAGCTAGCGTCTAGCGTATTGTGATGACAAGAACATACATTGAACATTTAATCATAAGGTGGCACCCCGGCCAAAAATAAGCCGCTCTTAATTCCAGTTAGCATGAGCTCAGCACTAAATGCTAGGCTAAACTAGCTTGCGGATACTTTGACGGTTGCCGTGCGAAATCGTTTAGGTTGTACCTTGAGCGTGACGTCACAGAGTTTCCCCTGCCGTCGAATTTCCTCCATGACGACATAACCTCTGCCCGGCAGGTCGTGCACTGAAAAATGGACTAAATCTTCGAGCTCCTCGCAAACCACCTCTCCCATCGTCAGCGTCGCTAACTGCGAGCCTGCAGCCCTCCGAGCCGCCGTAGCACACCGGAACCACTTTCGCTTGCCCTTCAAACCAAAAGAATAACAAGTTGCGAGGTCAATCATCGTCACGAATGGACTCGCCATGGCCCCTCCCAGCTGATGCGAGAGGGCAGCCATCCAATGTTGCCATTGTTACTGACAACTTGTGTTTTTTTTCATGAAAAAAAAAAACACTGTTACCAGATAGGATCCTTTTATGGAGTTATGAGAGCCTCCCAAAGAACCAACTTCACTGTTTGTATCGACCATTCAAAGTATATTATCTGAAATTAATGTAAAACTTGTCAAGTGATGTCAGACTGAAGCCGGTAGGTGAAGTCAGGGTCCTTTCTTTTTCCTATGTCGAAAACTGACCTCTCAGTTCAGAGTTGTGTTCAAGTGCACTTTCCTTTCCATTCCTGGTCAGAGATCAGAAAAATCCCATTTCCCACCTTCCTCAAATGCAGCATTAGTCAGTGCTCTAAGCATACTTAGATTGTCACAGGACTGCTGACGTTTCACGAGGTCACAAGAACGTCAAAACGGGCATCCGTCATTCTCCACCATCAAACTCACTGGCGCTGATCCTGCACCAATCACATTTCTCATTGTAGCATAAGCTCTTCTGTCAGTGCCACCATATCAGATTGCACTCCCGTGTCAGCATCATGAGCAAAAAAACAAACAAAAAAAAAGTGACCCCTCAAGTATGCTCATTTTCTTTGTTTTAATATAAAACCAAGAGAAACATTTACAAAATGTTTGTGGGCAGTCTTTGAGGCTCAAACAAAGTTGTCATAAGTCAGCTGATGTCACGTGGGAGCACAGCTGTGTGATTGCCAAGAAAGGTCACAATGGTGAGCGCATTCAAGACGGCTGATAGATATCGTCAACGTTCTTCACGTCCACTTCCTGTCCTCGTCAAGGTACAGCTTGAAAAAGGATTGGCTTGACCGTGCGTGGCCATTTCGCTGCTCATTCAAGTCCCAATTCTGATTCTCAAACCCAAACGGGACCTTACGCTGGCTCGTCGCAGTACTCGAGGCATCTTTGCTGACAGCGCTCGATCAGTGTCCACACTGACAGGTCTCAAAGGGGTTGTTGTTGGTTGGTGTTTCCCGCAATCGGTCGCCGTTGGCAATTGTTACCATCAATAGGTGGCCACTGGCGAGCCTCTACGCTGACGGGATGCCGCTGGTTAGCGTCAACGTTCATAGGGCACCCTTGACTTGCGTCCACGCTGACAGGTTGCTGTCGGCGCGCGTCTACGCCGACAGGTCATTGTTCTCAAAGCGCTCCTGTTCGTAGGCCTCGGCTGACACCTTGCGACCGCCGAACCAGCGGCGGTCTAAAGCCCGGACCGCTCGGTTCATCTCGGCTGTGTGGTTGAACTCCACGAAGATCTTAATAATGACATCGGCATCGGCGTCCTCTCCCTGCCGTTCCTGGTAGATGACCACTCGCTTGACCTGGCCGAACTTGCCGCACTCCTCCGTCACCTCACCCTCCAGGTGGTCATCAATGTCGTCCAGGCCAACCATGTTCCTCAGGACCATCACACGCGACTGAGGGCACAAAACCGCAAAAGCACATAAATATTACAGAACAGTCCAAGTACCAACCCATACCCGCTCCCAAAGGATGATCAAAGTAATCCAAAAGTAATTTCAATTTAGCCCCAAAGTAGTCGTCAATGTCGTCCAGGCCAACCATGTTTCTCAGGACCATCACACGTGACTGAGGGCACAAAACCGCAAAAGCACTTAAATATTACAGAACAGTCCAAGTACCAACCCATACCCGCTCCCAAAGGATGATCAAAGTAATCCAAAAGTAATTTCAATTTAGCCCCAAAGTAGTCGAAAGGGTAATGACACTCCAGTATATTTCAAAATAATGCCACGCGTAATCCCATACCAACCGAATATAGTTTAAAAGTAGAACAAAAATTAATCCCAAGTATCTCAAAGTATTCCAACAGTAAGTGCGTCCACAGTGTCCATGAGACGAGCTTTGGAATATATATTTTTTTTTACTTTGTGATTGCGTACAATCTTGTTAATGTCTTGGTGTCCGTCAGTCGGTTTACTCGCGTCCAAGGGCGCTCCCTGGTGCTGCTCTTCATCCATCCTCAGGGCAGGGGGCGTGGCCAGGACGGGATTGACCAGAGCCACTTGAGGCAGTCCTGTTCGAGCTGGGGTCACGCCTGAAACATTGACATCACATTCTGGAGCCAGGGAGTGGGCGGGGCATGATGCAGAGGTGGCAAGGTTGAAGGCTTCCCACCTGTGATGACGCCCGGAGCCTGAGCCGCCATGACGCCTTGCGGAAGACCAGCCAGCGCTCTTAGCACTGACGCGCCCACTGGATCCTGAAAGCAGCACCATGGCACACAGTCACGTTTTGAAGCCAATTAATTATTTTTTTATTTTTTTATGTATTTTTATCAGGAGTCATTTCAATCCAAATCAAAATAATGGTGATTGTTATTATAATTTCCAAAACGGCCCAGCCCTAACAGATGATGACATCATCAGGACTCACCTGGGCAGTGAAGTTGGCAGCCGCAGCCAGGCCTCCCGAGGCAGTGATGAGCGGCACGGGCGGCGTGACGGCCTTCCCAACTCGCAAGTACTGGCCGCCCAGGTCAAATAGGTTCATGGAGGCCACTGCGTCGACGGCTGCCTGGGGCTTGTCGTACTCTGGAGTGAAACTCAAAAGCCGTCAGTGCCGGACGCACGTCGCGTCTCTTTGCATGGCGTGGCATGGCGTCACATCTCACCGATGTAGCCGTAGCTTTTGTGGCGTCCCGTGGTGGGCTCGCGAGCCAACATGCATGACTTGATCTTCCCAAAGGCCTCAAAGACGCTCCGGATGTCGCCGTCCGACAGGTCGCGATGAACGGACGCCACGTAGATCCTGTTGAAGGCGCGCGCTTCCTCCGCCAGCTGCTCGATGATGGGTTGGGCCTGCCCGATGTTACTGGGCCGGCCCACCTGTTCAAAGTGTGGAGTCGATTGTTTGACACGGTCGTGGTCTACGACGGTGACAAACGTTGACCTCGAGCCAACCTTAATGTTTCGCCCTCCCAGGACGACAGAGTTCATTTGGTCCAGAGCCAGCTGAGCCGCTTCCGGCGTTTCGTATTCCACAAAGGCAAAACCCTGAACAAACAAACGCTAACTTAACATTTTGACGAATACAACATGCATGCTATATGCACCAATGAACAACTGAATGAGAATTTAGAATGAGAACTTTATGCTGCATGTTAGCTGTGACCTCTGACCTTATGCTTCATGGTGACAGAGTCCCAGGACATGTCGATGCTTTTGATGGGTCCGAAGGGGATGAAGGCCTGCCTGATGGTGTCCTCGCCCAGCTCGTAGTAGATGGAGCCAACGTAGACGCGGCACATGATGGCCAAGGCGCGCTGGCGTTGAGCCGCCACCTCAACAGCAAGTCACCACCACATTAGCTCGCGTCCCAAAAAGAAGATGTGAGCACTTTTCAATGACGCTCAAGAAAAAAAATAAAGTGATGACTTACTGACTGCAGAGGAGAAAGTTCTCCTAAACCCACCGACAAAGAGGCCATCTGACACATACGCACACACACACACAAAGAACAAGCATGAACACAAGTGTCCTAACTCATCTGTTGGCCGATGCTGAAAAATTAATGCAGTGGTACATCAAGTTACAAACTTAATGTGATTGGATGAATCAGTGGATGGGTGGGGCGGGCACAGCAGAGGTTGGCAGCAAAAGTTATCTTATGTTTGGAGGCAAAGGCAAACACTTGCACGAACAACTTGTTGACAAGTGAAAAAAACACCAACGAAGTCATCAAGGAGACGACGTTGACTCGACTGTCAAGCGGGTGTGTGCGTAATGTCAAAGTGACATTGCGCATCTGTGTACCTGCAGTCCACTCAGCTGCTGCTGTTGCTGCTGCTGAGCCATAGTCTGCCTGACCAGAACATTCCGGATGCTCTGCTCCATGGCATACTTTTTGGCCTGCAGAGCAAAACGGCCAATCAGATTACAGATACAACAATTCATATGCATTTGGTCAATTATCAAATTAATAGAAGTACTTTATTTATCATTAAGAGTCTTTGTTCAACTTTGATTAGCCTTACCTTCTGCAGCGCCTCCTGTTGTTCGAAAGTGAGCGGCGGCAGGCCAAGCCTCGTCGTGGTTGTGGTCGTGGTCGTGTTGCCGGTCGTGTTGCCTTGTCCGTTCTCCATGACAAGCATGCGCAGTGGCATCACAGCGGCCGCTGGCTTGCCTTACTCCGTTACCCTTGACGACGCCATTCAAGTGATTTGCAGCAACACTTTCAACTTTTTCGCATGAATACTTTGACTTTTATCTAACGTGACACAACTTTGGGGAGGCTAGGAGTCCAAATTTGTCATCAGGTGTCATAATCATCGTCTCGACAGAAACATTTCATCGTATCTTCCGTTTCTTGAGCTGAGAATGTTATTAATGTTGACGATGGGTTGGCACGCAACGTCCACGACACACACACAAACACAGGAAGGCTCGGTTAGCATTAGCTTAGCATGCTTCCGTCGAAGGAACAATGTCCACAATGAGAGCGTTTCACGTTCCTACTGCAAACGCGGCTAGCACCTTACACTCGAGCTCCAGTCCGGTTCTGTATCTGTGTGTCTAGCTGTGAGTGTTCGGTTCGGTCCACTGTTGATATTTTTGCCAAATGTAAGCATCCAACTGTCACTCGTGTGACTGAGCAGCTTTAGGGGAGGCTACGTCACTTCCGCTGGCCGCGCTTTCTCAATCAGCTTTCCTTTGCTCTTTTAAATTAAGAAAGCAAGAAAACGTCCGAAATGTAGCTCGCTCATTTGACATTTATGTCGGCATTTTAACAAATGAAGCGCGCGGATTTCTTTTTGTACAACGGGAACTATTTTTTTACTGTCTGCTTTATTTTTTGGGTAGTCGTGTACAGTAAATGCTATTTAATTGATACTATTCTACCAACGTTGTGCATTGTAATTCTTA